CCCCCCTTAAATCTCCCCCCCCTAAAACCCTCAATGTCGCCGACTCGGGTCCCTCTACCATAAAGGGGAGAAGCGCTGGAGTGTGTTGTACTCTGTATTCTAGCTTGCTGCTGGAATAGGAACCGGACTGATGCTCCCCAGAATGCATATGGACACTTATGGAGCCGGAGCCATAAGGCTGTGTTTTCTTCAAAAAAGAGGAAAAAAAAGCAAAAAAATCAGTAAAAATGCACACTGGTGGTGGTCCATCCGACCATTAAAAAAAACAAAAAAACAAAGGGACCAGTGGCCAAGACCGAACACAAACATACATAGCACGAAAACAAGAAGGAAAAAACTCAGGGGCCTTCAGCCTCAAGCCCTCCAAGCCCTCAATCTCAGGCTGAGCCTGTTACCTGTAGTAGGACATAGTTATCCCAAAAAAGTTCTGCAAACACTAAGAAAACTTAGAAAAGTAAAAACGCCTATAAAGTAGTATAAACTGTACAGGTCCTAAACGACAGAAAATTACATGCCTATGTCCCAAACAAATGCCTGAGTTTGGTGTCAACCACTTTTTTTTTTTTTTTTTTTTTTAACACAAAAGTAAAAGAATTGCCAACTTACTTGAACTAAGAGAAAAAAAATATGGTCGCTATGCCAAGAACTGTTGAAAAAGGGCAGAATTCCAGTGGCTCCATCAATCGATACACTCGTTGGGCAAGCTGCCCAATGCCGTGTAAGATTGTGAGAAAATGAGTAGATGCACAACGCATGAGCATCATCAACACGGTCTACCGTGGTTTACAAGGAGTACTTCAACGAAAACAACTCAAATTCACTTGGTAGTGAATTGCAATACATGTGCCGAGTGTTGGCCTTCAATCAACCAATCAATTAGAAATCAGGAGGTGAACTTTGTTTCGTTTCTGTGTAAGGCTTGTTTTCTTTTTTTTGGCTTTGCCACACAGACGGCAGAGGAGGAGGTGGGGGGAAGGGGAGAAGGAAATGGTGGAGAAGGAGGGGGAGGAGGAGGAAGTTGAGGTCTGCATGTCTTCATGATGGCATCCATAGCCGGGCTGCTCGCTCTGGATACCGGTGGGGCTGGTCATGGTCCTTGGGCATGGTGGTAAGTCTGTGAGGAGGAGAGTCAGGGGATGAGCCGTGGGGTCGTGGAGGTCTGCATGTCTTCATGTGCATCATTCTGCTGCTTAAGTGCTTCCGGTTGCACCCTGTATATAGGTTGTAGTTGGGCGCCAGGCGCCATACAGAAGTGCGGCATTTGATACATTATCGGTGGAGGCGGGATGCGGCTCATTGTTTTGCTCATATCTGGTGTGCAACTTGGTGCATTCTACTTTCTGTTCTTTTCGACACATGGCTATCTGGCTTGCAATGTGATGATGCAATTTGGTTTTCTCAACTTTTCTTTTCTGTCATTCGCTCTCGCTCATTTTCCTTGCAGCTGAGTGAAGAGGCAAAGGGGCAAGAGGCAAGAGGCAAGAGTATATCAGCCGGTGCAATGAGTAGTCCGTTTATTCACCCGAAAGTCATGCTGCCGCCCCGTCCAGAGGGGAGCAAGAAGGGAGAGTGACGTGCAGTGCTGGGTGAAGGAGGAGGAGCAAGTGGGGAGTTGCTTGGCTATGTAGGAAGGTAGTAGTAGCCCCCGTTGGGTCTGAGGTAGATGAGGGATGTGCAGAAGGAGTGGAGGAGGAGGAAGGCGGTGGGAATTGAGGAGGGGATACTTACCTTTGGCTTGGGGAACCTTCATCCTGGTTGGTGCTGTACGAAGAAGGTCCCCGGAGGAGTACCATCTCGACATGGATTCCGTTCAGAGGGAGGCTACAGTGCTAAGAGATGGGAGAGGCATGGTAGTAGTTGTGTTGTTCTCTGAACATCCGTGCTAGGAATGAATGAACTGCCATCGCCAGTTGCTCCTCGAGGAGGCTAAACGAGGAGCTCTTTCTTCACTGGGAGCAGGGGAGATCATTCCAAAAATGACATTTATAATTTATTCATTCATTCCAAAATTGACATTTATTCATTCATTCGCTTATTACTGTACATATCATATCTACCATTTATTTAATACTTAAGGAGAGGCGGTGGCGAAGATGTGAAGGTCGATGACGATGGCAACAGGAGAAGGAAGATGACATTGGTTCAATCTTGTCTTCTTCACCTTCTTTCTTTGTTCCTTCATTCTTTGCCTCTCCTGTTCTAATTCGAATTCCTCTTAAGCTGCGACACATGGCATTGCCTCAAAGTTGAATCTTGCATTATGAATTCAGCAGTACCATCGTAGCTGCATGGTCTTGTCTGCTTGCATTCCTTTGTTTCTCTGTTTGTTCCTAGTTCACAGTTGAGGTTCTGGACACGGACTTACCCGTAGACGGAACATCCCAAACAGAGTTGAGGTGTTGAGAGCGCGATCCATGTTGACTGGCACCGTGGCTGGCACGTTGGTGATAAACAGCTCATAGAGTCCCATGCCAAATATGAGCATCACAGTACCGACGAGGAAAACATCTGCATGAAGAAAGCAAAGCCAGTCAGAAAAATAAAAATAAAAATTGAGAAGATCATGAACCTTGACAATATCTGATACCAGTTTCGATCATGTAGTACGACATTACAATCATCGTATAATTTTGCATTAAGTTACTATTAACTATGCTCTCCTTTGAGCGAGGGGTTTAGGAAGGAGATCGGGTTTAAGAAGTTGGGAAAGCCTCCCCGACGAGCGTATCTTGTCATAGAACGCCTACCTGCTTCAATTTGTCTAGATGTAATCCAAGATGGCTCTAAGGCTTGTAAAGCAAACTTTCCAAAAACAATTGAATTCCCTCTTGTAGAAATCCCTTGGGAGGGTACACTTGATAGGGGGAGGGAATGAACAATGGCATGGGCTCGTCTGACAGTCAATCCCTCCTGCAGGAAAGTATTAAATGCTGTCAGGCTTCCCTGGGCTGTAACAAAGGGAAGTGGTTGTTAACGAGTTGTTTTCATTTTTGACTTGCCGGTGGAAAAGGACCCGGACTGCTGCTCCCCAGAATACAAGGAGCTAAGTTGAAACGAAATGAAATGGAACGGAACGGAATGGAAGGGACGGAACGGAACGGACACGGAACGGATCGAATGGAGCGGAACGGAACGAACGGAATGGAACGGAACAAGACGAGATGAAACGAAACGAAACGAAACGAAAAAGCAAAACGAAACGAAACGAAAAACAAGCAAACAAACCATACTCCGCTTTGAAAATGCTTTAGAAATTAGAATCATATTTGTAATGAGTCTGTCCGTTCTGAACATCACCGTCAAGCCTATACTTACGAAGCTCAAGTGCTTGACAGCTCAAAGAGATGGCAATGATGTCACAGAACAAGACGATGAGGAGGAGAAGAGTAAGACAAATTGAACTTGGGCATGTGATCATTAAAAAATACAACGTTCATTTCTGTCCTCCCTCTTCAACCTCCAGGATCTTCTCGTCCTTTAGCGCCACCTTATGATAACATCAACCTCCCACGTAGTACTAGTTCCTCACCTCTCCTCTCACTCACCACGTTGCTGAAGCACGGTATCACTCTCAATGTTGATTCCACTCTGGTGTTGGCCTCCCAAGGCCAGCGCAATCATGACCAACACAGGATATGACAATGCCTGCCTTCTGAAGCTGCCCACTCTCTCTCTCTCTCTCTCCCCCCCCAAGGCCAGCGCAATCATGACCAACACCGGATATGACAATGCCTGCCTTCTGAAGCTGTCCTCTCTCTCTCTCTCTCTCTCTCTCTCTCTCTCTCTCTCTCTCTCTCTCTTTCTAACACACACACACACACACACACACACACACACACACACACACACACACACACACACACACAGCTCTGGTGCTTCAGCACAGTCTCCTATCTAGCTATGGCTGCTACTCTCTCCAGCTCTGGCTGCCACACTCATTCGTTCGCTCTCTTTGTTGCTGGTGCTTGTCCTTCAGCGACGGAGCTAGTTGCCTCAGCATCGTTCCATCATAATGTGCCCAGCAGAACAGTTAGACTGGGGTGGAGGCCAACGTATACTGTGTCAAACGACCTAACCTGTCGCCTCCTGACCAGAATGAAGGGCTGACATTCAGTTCACTTAGCGGCTGAGGTGCACAGCGGTCTGAGGCTGTCTGAATCCAGTAGGCCCTGGATGCACCTGGTAACCATTTCTGTCGTCTCTCACTAATGGTTAGTAGGTGGTTTCATTTTCAGCGAAGTTCTCACCGAATCTGCCATATTTCCCTGAATTTTAGTTTTTTTTCTTGCTTTTCTTTTTTTTGTGTGTGTGGGTGATATGTATGTGCTTTAGGGTGTTATCTGTATTCAGTTTTAACTTTTAACATATTTGGACCAGTAACGAAAAAGTTGGCAAAAACACCGACCTCTGAGAAAAAATTGCCGAACTCCGAAAGCTAAACCGAATAGGGTTTCATACTAATTCATTATTTCATAGTGCTTTTGAGTTGTTTTGAATGTTTTCCTTTTTTTCTGTTTTTTTTTTTTGTGCCTGTTTTTTTTTTTTACGTTTGTATTATGAGCCTGCATTGTTTGTTCACGAAATTCTCAACGACATTCCTTGTGATGATGCGGCATGCGTGTGATCTGTGGCCATGGTCGACTTGTGGAGGAATGCTCGACTTTATGCCTTATGAACCCGATAAAGCCTGAGTGTTGACTTTCCTGGGGCTTCTGTTATTCCGGCCCTGCGGACTCTGTGTGGACCTTGTGAAAACCAGTGAATTTAGGAGTCCTGGACATGTGTCCATGACCGATTTCTGTCAAAATCTTTGACTCTTTGTCTGGTGGACCTGTTAAAACCTGACTCGGGACCTCCCGGGCCCTGAGTTGACTTTTCCAGGCCCTCCGGACTTCGGACCCTATGCCTCAGAGTTATTGACCTCAGAGCTCCTGGATGTGCCCTTAACCCACCAGTACCTCCAGCCTCTTTTCTGGACGCGGATGTGCACTGCATGCCCAAAAAAAAAAAAAAAAAAGGGACCGCCACCAGCGCACTCTTTTCATTTTTGGCTGGCGCTGCGAGCCATTTTGGTCCCCAGTGGAATTGTTCGCCCAAAGAATCTGAATTGACGCAATTTTAACTCTCAAGTTTACCTGAGTTAATACCGTACAGCGCCGCAGAATTTGGACTCAGCCAAACGTTACGATGCGAAGACTGTTGTATTTCTGGTTTGACCGTGGGACGTCACACACATTGCTGAATTCTAGAAATGAGTAGGAGAGGAGGGGCCTCAGATTGTGGAAGACCTCAACGACAAGGAAGACCTTGTTGTCCCACAGATCCCAGAATGACAGTGTAATGAATGAATTATAAAATGCGGCACGAGAGATGAATTCAGACAGCCCTGTCTTCGCCTTTTTCCTTTTAACGCAACATGACAAAGAATATCATACAGCTGACCGTTGTGCTGGACGCCAATTTATAGAGTGCATTAATTTATGATATTCACTTGGCAATTATCTGAAATTCACATAGAGTCCATTGAAGTTTGAAAAAGAAAACAAATCGAAAGAGAGAGCTCGCTTGCAAAGACATTTTCGCAAAAAGATGGAGCGAAAATCATTGTTCTTATCTAAGTTATCTCCCTTCTGGATTTTGAATTTTCTATCCCTAGACTCCCTACTTCTTTCTTCCCTCTTTTTCTCTCAAAAAACAATCCGAGTGTTCCGGATGGATGTTTCTCAGCTAATCGGACATAAGATTTTCGGATTTTCCGGATGGCTTGGGTTGCCTGTCATCCAGATCCCTGGTCCGTAATTCTGCCCCGGGGTTCAATCCACTTTGGGCACCAATGAGTGGGGGTTCTACCCATGGACCTTCCCTTCCCCAAAAGAGCAAATGAAAATTCTGTGTGTAAAGTCTACCTGGGCTCGGGGTGAAACTGAACGTCCAAATTGGCCAATGTCCAAGGAGAATGGTAAACTAGCAGAAGATTGTTGTGCCAGCAAGCTCCGAGCGCCCTGCTGTGCTACCTCACTCAACAGACCCAGCAGGAGCTGGACCAGTTTGGCCCAATTGGAGCTGAGCTAGTTGGTACCAGGTGGGTCCAACAGAAGCTGGAGCAGTTGGCCCCAATCGGGTCCAACAGGAGCTGCATTAGTTAGGCCCGATGGGAGATTGACCGGTTGAACCTAGTTAGGCTCAGCACGAGCTGGAGCAGTTGGGCGGCTGAGTCTTTTCCTCAGTGATGGCAATGATGATGACAGAAGCATAGCAGCATCACCACCACCAGCACCACGCGATGGTCACACCAACACTGTTAGAAACTTACAATTCCCTGGAGGCCTGGAAAAGCCCTGACGGTCACTCTGTGTTCAGCAGCCCCTGTCTCTGTACATGTAAAATGCGGGGCTTGGCTAGAGCTGATCCAGCTGAATTGGGCTGCACCTCTCCAGTGCCTTTTGCCACCTGTTGCTGGAAGCCAATTGGCTGTGAATATAGGGCCTCATCACACGGCACACGAAACAAAACGGAACGAGTGCATCTGCCCGCAAAAGGTGGCGGAATAGACTCGTTTCTATGTGTAGCAAACCGATGACCTGTCTATTTTTCGAGGGAAGGTGCACTCGTTTTGTTTTTCGTTTCGTGTGCCGTGCGGCGACACCCTTAGTTATACGGAAGAAGAACTGCAGCCAACTCCGCCTTTTTTTTAATAAATAAACCCTACCATAAAAAATGCAAATCATTTCTGAATCCGGTCACTGCTTGCCACTTCCCTTTTCTTTCTTTCAGCCAATGCTCAAAGGCTGATACAGAAATGGGCTACGATACAGAGAAGGCTAGCATGGCCCTGCGCAAGGATGACCCACAAAAACCGAGAAACAGTTCAATTCTTTCTTATTAAAAAAAGCGAAAATAAGAAAAGCAAAAGAAATGGGTTGTGGAGCCTACCCCACTGTGGTCTATCTGTGTACATGGAAGAGTTCTTGGCCTCACAATGTCTGGTCTCATCACCTATGCAGGGAAATGGGAAATCGTGTGATGATTACATCACCATAACACAATAAAAGGTTGACGATTGCTGGGGTGGACTGAAATTCACATCTGCGAGCTTCATCATTTTCATCCGAGTTCACTTTGCTTTGTGTGGCAGGCGTTCTGATTTTCAATCACCACGTTGCAGGTTCGACACCTGGACGGAGCGATTGATTTGCGATTTTCAGAACCATTGGATTTCACACCTGGAGGCCACGCTTGGAGCCTCCAGGGAAATTATACCGGGTTAGGCCGGCATGCAAACCCCCTTGAGCTCAGGCTTGGGGAGGGCCATTTGGTTGAAGTTGTGTTTTGGTACACCTGGCAATGGTGGTATGGGCTGTACAAACCATGCTAGGGTGGGCTGAAATTTGCATCTGCGTCGATTCTGCGAGCTTGAGTTTCATTGCAGCTCATTTTCTGTCTTGTGGTAAGCATTCTCATTTTCAGTCAGCAGGTTCCAGGTTTGATGCCTGGAGGGAGCGATTGAT